ATGGTAAAAAAAAATTTTAAAAAAATGGAGAAAGGACAACGCTTCTGCACCTGCTTCTAAAATGGCATTCTCTTTTCAGCTGAAGCAGGCCGAGGTTGAGCAACCCAACAGATGAACAACAACAATAATGGTGGAAGGAAATGAGGTAAATTTGGTTTTAAAACAAGTTTTGAGAGGAAAAAAAAAAGTGTAACTTGTTGAAAGGCTATAATGAGAAATCATGGAGTTTTTGTCTAAAATCAAAAAGAGGAAAGAGGAGCGGCTTTTTTGTCTATGGCTTTTGAACATTTGGTGGTGTTGGGAGTTAAAATGATGGGGAATGAGGACTAGCAGGGATGGCCTCGGCGGCACGGGAGCGAACCTGCAGAAGATGTGATGGATCCAACCATGGAAGCAGACTTGGCTCCTAGGCTGGAGGCTCTGGCGTAGCTTGCAGAAGCTCCAGCACCTGATGGGGTGAAATAAGCTCCATTCAGCAACATGTCTCCTTCTGATCTCCAGTTCCATCCCTTCCATTCGCTCTCCGCTGTTTCGACTCGCTTAGTCACCTGCATATCTCACCGACCCGATTCGTTAGCACCTAAATATTGTTCGAGTTGGAATGATATTTGGGGTGGGGATGGGTTGTTGTACCTCTTTGGCAAAAGGGTTGGTTGGAGCAGCATATCTATTGCCTTGACTATTGATGGTGGGGTTTGCACTCCCACCAATGGCATACATCTCCCAGTGTGTGTAGTCATTGTTCACCACATGGAAATAGCCATGCCTACATCTGAATCAGAGAGAAATTTATGTGAGTGAAAAATATTCTTCTTCTTCTTCTTCAAGTATAAAACGTGAGTTGTCTATTACTATTATTACCTTGGCATTCTTTGGATGAGTCCCTCTCCAAAGTGGTTATAAGCAATGGTGACTTGCATTTGCTTGTCCTTTGTGTAGGAATCACTATGGCCTAGAAGCATCACCTGAGGAAATGGCAATAACATAAAGATCTATGAGAAAATTTATTTGTTTGACTTGATTTCATATGAGAAATGCAATCAAAAGTGTACCTCATTGTGGTGGGTGAAGTGATTGTTGGAGATTGTGATTGCAGTTGAGCCCATAACAGCATCAACAAGGCCATCAGCACAATTAGAGAGTGAATTGTGATCGATCCAAATATGACTTGACCCAAAGATGGAAATGGCATCTCCATCAGCCATGGTCCTCCACCCAAAATGAGTTGGAGAGCTTCTCACCATGGCGTTCCCTGTGGGCTTGCAATCATGGATGTGAAGACCATGGATGATGATATTGGTCACAAACTGGATTGTGATGCAAGCGCCATTAGCTATGTGTACATTGACCCCACGAGCGTCAATGGTTTTAAAACTGTTCATGATGAGTTCCTGCTTCAATTGAATCACCATGTCCCTTTTGAACACAATCCATAGAGGTTTCTCTTGGATCACAGCATGACGCAGTGTCCCTGGCTTCGGGTTCACCGGATCGTTGTCGCTCGAATCAGTGACGACGTAGAAACGTCCATCACGACCACCGATTGCATTCCGACCGAACCCAATGCCGCATTCGGCAAGGCGCTTACGGTTGCGGTGCCAGTTGGAGTCGCAACGCCAGCAGTCATCAATGGGATTCCCAGTTCCACAGGAGAAGAACCCCAACTTCCTCCTTTCAGTGCTATTACGGATGCTCCTGCCATATCAAACAACATTCATATGAACCCTCTCTTGACATTTTAGCGACAGAAAAATGCTCTTGTTCAACCAAAAACCAAACATATTGATGAAATCATCACAATCTACATGTACAAATCTCGAGAATAACTAAAAATTTGTCTCGGCAGTGCTAATTGTCCATCCCAACGGCCACATGAAAATGCATACTACTGAGTACAGAACAAGACAAAAACCACGCTGGCATTTTGACCCCACAACGACTCTTTTCATTTTAACGTCTAGAAATTCTCATCCTATTATTAATTCTAGCATACAGACAGAAAGGAAGCAGACAAGAACCATTTAGTAATTAAAAGAGCAAAAAAAAAAATCCTATTCCACCCAAATCTTACAAAACCAATCTCTCTAACAATTAATTACGTATTTTGTAAATCGAACAGTAACAAAAACTGAAGCAATGTAAGAAAAAGAAGACCCACATCTCAACAGAGGCAGCAATCTCATCAGGATTATCCACAGCATGCTCATTTTTTAGTTTCTCCACATCATCATTCTCCACCCTGAAAACAGAACACCACCCAATTATATTTATCACTACTTTTTTGTTTGGTTTAACATAATAAGAGAAATTGGTAAAAGTAGAAGAATAAACAGCGCGTGGAGATGGGGAGCGCGAGTGAGGAATGAAAGTAAAAATGAAGTTACGGCTCGACGCTCAAGGTGGGTGCGGGAGATCTCTTACGCACCCTGCCGTATTGTCGTCAGTCACAGTCCGGCAAAAGTGAAAAAATAAACCGTTTGAAAAAGCGAGAGAGAGAATGGGGCGAGCGAAAAACAGAAACCCCAAAAAAATAAAGGAGAAAGAAATTGTCCTTTTATTCTTGTGAGTGAAATGACTGGACTACCCCGGAGTTTTATCAAGCAATCGGAGGAAATAATTTACTGGAGCGAAGGAATCGGAAGAGAAGAAAACTGGTAACGAAACAAACGGTCCAGATCGAGGATCTGGATCTCAACGGTTGAGATCGTTAGCTACAGTTTGATCACACGGATCCGAAGAGAATATCCAACGCTGTGAAATGCAATATGAGTAGAAAGCACGGCTGAAATCGTTTTGTTAGGTACAGATTTTCGCGTTCTATTATTCTTACTTGAGTTAATGAAACAAGCACTAACCTCGCCGCCATTGATGAGTTGCTAGAGCTCTGAAACTCTGCCGCTAACTCAGTCCTGTAAGAAGAAAGTATTTACAAAAGACAAAGAGGAATTAGAACACAAAACAGCTACAGTTCGTTTGGAATTCAGAGATTCCTTTTCTGTTCCTTATCCCTTTTTCTAAAGTAATTTTGATTTGAAAGACGCTCCGGATTCGTAGTTTACTTTTTTACATTTCTACATTCCGATAACAGAGAGGCCGCGAAATTGATCCGATAAATTCTAAAGCCATATATCCACATTGAACGCTCAAGAGTCTCCAAATCGAAATAAACCTAAATCTCCGGAAATCTCGAAAGAAATTACAGAAATCTATTGAAATTGAAAAGAAATAGAACGTGAATCTGCTTCTCACCAGAAACTAACACAATGTCGCTAGAATTTAGAAATCAAACATAGAAATGGAGAGAAAACTTGCCTAATTTCGGAGGTCTGTTCTCTGCGAACCAGAGCCATTGTTACGAAGAACACCATTGCAAGCGCGACCAACGACAGAGACGACCATCTACTGAGTGCCGCCATTAAAGCTCTGTATCCTCAATGTGTCTCTCTCTCTCTTCCACAGTACTGAGAAAAACCAGAGCGAGCAGAGAGAGAGAGAGATTATGGAGAAGAAGAAATGGAGAGAAAAAAGGAAGAAGAAGAACAGAGGAAAACGAGCAGTGGTGATGTCAGTGAAAGCATTGGACAAAACGGACCTTTTATAGACAGACCCCAACGGAAAAGAAAAAAAAAGGATAACAAAATCCAAACATTCAACCGACGTTAACGCCGTCAACTAACTTCAACGTTATTTTTTTCTCCCTCTATTTCTCTCTCTAACTTCTATATTTTACGTTCTCTTTATTTATTTATATTTTAATACAAGAAAATATGAGTAAAATCCGGAAACCTTTTACACTTTTTCATTCATTAAATTGCATGAAAATTTTTAAATTAAAAAAAAAACTATATATCATAAATGGAGTCTCGGAATAATATTTCGTTAAAATTTTTACAGATACGAAAGAGAAAAGTAGAAAATAGATATTTTTCTATCTTTTAAAGTCAAATTGTTATTGATGGTGAGTAGAAAAATGGATACCGACCCGAAATCAAATAAACATGGTATTAAATATCTGTCGACACATCAACACATCGACATGTCCATGTATTCATGGTTCAACATCGACATCAAGGATCATTCAACATTTCCATCATAGTACAAAAACAATAAAAAAAATGTCAACAAAATATTATTAATATACATAATATTAATATTAATTATTTTAATTTATTTAAAAATATAAAAATATTTATTTGTTAGTTTAAATATTTTTTACGATCTTTTTATTGCTCTAATTTTTACATAATTATTTATTAACATCGATATTTTCTATGAAATTGAGACATCGACATTTCTATAGACATTGCCATTTAAAATCTTGCATATAAGTACTGTTCTTTTCTAAAACAATGTCTATTTAATTTTTAACATATTTTTCAACTTTTAATATTGTTTCTCTTTGATAATTATATTTTAAAAAGATTTTAACAAACTCTTTGACTATTAATTTTGTTTCTAATAAGTACTAGTTGTTACAACAACGATATAGTTATTTCGTCACATGAATGATAAATTAACGTACTTAATAATTCTTCAAAAAGAATTGACATACTTAATAGTAAAGACCCAATAGACATGAAACACTACTATCTTGTGTTTCATTGTTTTGTTATATGTTTTTTCAAAATGATTTTAAACTTTAAGTCACATTTAAAAAAAAATGTTTTATAAAACTTGTTTTTGGAATTTGGAATTTGGTCAAGGATTCAAACGTGTTTTAAAGGAAGGGTGAAAAATATATCAAAATAAATTGTGAAAAATCAAATATAATTTTTAAAATCATAGAATTAAAAATAAAACTATTAAACTGGAACCTTATAAATCTATTAAAAACTTTGAAATTAGATCTATTATACATTTTTTTTAAATTCATAAAAGAAAAAAAAGATACAACTACAAAAGACCAAATTATAATTTAATTAAAAAATATGTTTTGTTTCAGTTGAAATCTGAATACTTGGACAATCTGAGAAAATACGAAAGAATTTAGATAGGGTGAACACTCCAAAAACTAAAATCAATCTCAAATTATTCTTTCTCAAGTTTGAATTTGTAATCATACTTGCACGTACTTGAATTTAACGTTATCTAAAATATTCATAGGAGATTCGCGATTATATTAGCTCGGAATTCATGCAGCCGTTAATCGAGATATCTGACACTGAATCTGCAGGTGTGATTATCAGTGTCACTCGACAGTTATCAATCAGACGTACCTATTATTTGACCATTTCGATTTTAGTTCGGTCACATAATCTATACTTTAGACGTTTAAGTGGTTCGGAAACTTCGACCTTTGACCACTTTACAACTTATACATGGATGTGGAAATTTACCCTTAATCATGTTTATTTTTTACAAATATGAAGAAAAAAAATGAAATCCAAATAAATCAACTTGATAAATACAGAAATGACTAATTTAACCCTTTGAACACCTCACTCCCGTGTTTACTAAAAGAAGTCCAAGATTGAGAATTGATGAGAAATTTTTTAAATAAATCGGTCTTTTCAAATTATAATTTAAAGTTCTTTTTTCTCCTCTTTTTATTGCATTGACGCTTTACGAAACCCTCTACTTCACACTACCTGCCTTAACGGAAAATAACGGATTCGCGATTTACCGTGACTGTAAATATACATTTACGACCCCTGAGCGAAAATTTTAACTTTTTAACGGGGGAGATTCTTTGACCTGCTGCCACGTTGGACGGGACCTCGAGGAAGACGTGGAATGTAAGGAATACGGTCGCCGGAGACCGATGTCACGGTTTTCAGCTGATTTTGCGGTCAAGAAATAATTAAATATTTAATTAAATTTGGGGGTTGCTTGGACGTGTGAATCACAGTCACAGTCACAGGCACCAATCACGGCTCTTGATTGCTGACTCAGCCATTGGTGGGTGTCCAACATTTGGTTACAGGCTGTTAACTTAACCTTTTTTCCTTTTTCCCTTTTTTTAGCTCCTATGTAAAAATAAATTTAGTTCCATAATCTCATTCCTCAATTCTGGCTATGATAGTGGAAAAGGTGAGTGTTTTTTAAGCTTAATCATTCATCTTTTAATGTGGAATTTTTTTTATTAAGAAAAATCTCATGAAAACTTCCCCAGTTATTTGGTTTTTATTTTTCTATGACCATTTTTGTTTTTATTAGTTCATATTTATATTGAAATTTTTATGTTTATTTCATGTTGGTGATTGAAATTTTAATAAATATCTTTTTGGATTTTTACCATTAAACTTAATTTTGCGGTGTACCAGAACTTGTGTGGTAAACTTTATGAAAGTACACAAATTAAAATACAAATGTTTTAAACTACGGACGACGATAAGAGTTTTAAAAATTTTGAATTGTCAAATAAAAAGAAACTACACTGTAAATTTTGTTATTTAACAAATCTATCAAAGAGTTCAAAATTAGAGACGGGATTGATGAAAGTGACATTCTTATTCCATTTTCATCATCCTCTCTATTTAAACTTAGAAATAGATAAATTAGATTTTTCTCTGCAGACATCTTTTAGGAAATTACAAAAAATAGCATAATAAAAACATTATATTACATTTTAAATCATAGGTTGTAAAAAGTGGCCGAATTACATGAAATTGTACATCTATTATAATTTAAAATGATATAAATTTAGCCCTTTAATTAAATATATTTTATTTTTTATTCTGCTGTTTAACTAAATTCGATCGCCATTTTTGTTTTTAATTGTCAGGAAAAAAATTTATTTCTTTTTTGTGGATGGGTTCATGATAATATCAGAATGATTTTATGATTATCACATCCACGATTTTTTGGTTGGAGGTTATATCTTAATCAACTCAGTTAAAGAATTGATTTTTATAAATATTTTCTAAATCAGGCTAAATATGGAATTTTTTTTATAGTTTTTATTGGCGGACAAATTTTTCCTTTCATCAAACAATGATACACTCAACTTCTCTTCTTCTTCTTTTTTTTTTTTTTTAAACTACACAATTTGGTTATATAAATACATAAAGAAAATATATAAATTAACATCACCGAACTTTAAAGATTCATGTTTAATGTGTATTAGGTTCATGAGTGTCTAATAAGTTCATGAACTCATTTTGTTTTTAGTAGGTTCTGATGGAGATAATTCTCAACCTACACGTGGCAAGTCTTGGTCATCCAATAGTGCACATGTTGTCCTGCGCGAAGTGTTTTTACATCAGCCATGAGTCCTCATGTCGAGCCGACCATGTATACCGACCGAGCTGACCAAATGTATGACTTGGACCACTTTGGCTCAGCCCATTCACCGACAAACTCCGCGACATCACTCCGCACTTCACGACAACCTTAAAGAGCCCTTGAGACCTTGTCGAGAACCTTATCGGGTACGTCGCCTATAAATAGAATCATTTTGCTTCGTTCCAAGGTACGCAATCAAACCAATTCTCTCTCTCGAGTTGACTTGAATGCTTACTGACTTTAGCATCAGAGTTTCTACTCTGTATTGCAGGTCTTCTGCATGGCATCCGGAGCTCTCTGTCTAGCTCGTCCTAACCGATCCGAAGTTTGGAGACTTGGTCATTTCTTGATCAAACAAATTCTTAATCTAATCTACATTATTTAAAAATTCATTGACTTATTAGACATAAAATGTCCAATATATTCTCAATCTTTCAGTTTTGTGTTTTACAGATAGTAAATTTTTTTTAAAAAATCTAATAGGTCAAACAAAAAATTTGAAAGGAAATTTATTTAGACCTGATTTTCAAAGTTCAAGAAATAAACTTAGTAATTTAATCTATTTATATTATATTAATTATTTGATTATATAATAAACAAAGATGACGGTTGCATGAAATTAATTCTTCGTGAGATGATATTTCTCAAATCTTTTATAATCCCTCTAACGAATAAACTAAAATAAACGAGATCAATTCAAATGAAAATAAATAATCTAAATTTTCTAAATTAAATTATATTTTAGCAAATCATTTCCAGCCAATTAATCAAGGAGCTCTCAAATGAATTGATTTGGTAGAACATTGAAAATATTTATTTCTCTCTCTCCAATATAAATAATTTAATTTGCAAAATGATTTCTCTCGTGACTAAAACTTAAATTAGTAGAGAAATCAGATGGGTTCCATTATAAGAGTTTTGTCCATATAGAAATAATTAAGACATTAGCTTAAGGTTTTTTTTTGGCATTTTTAGAATGAATAGATTTTGACAATTTGCAAGTAGTAATCATTGTGTGATCAATGGCTAATTAATGAAAGATTTGTTTGATACAACTTGTAGTTGTGGATAAGATGAGAAAAATAATTTTGATTTTTAAAATTTAGCCAAAGAATTTAAGAACATTTTGAAACTTAGCTAGAATTTTTAAATTGTTTTCGAGTATGAAATTAAAAAAGAGTGGTTAGTATGTAAACTTTTATTGCAATATAGATAAATATTGCTGCTTTTTGGAAATATAAATTTCAAATCGGAATAATGATAGAATGAGCGTTAAATTATTTTTGGAT